TCTTCTCAGCTCCCCAGCTCCCTAATTGTGCATGCTCACATCTCTTCCAGATCAGATTTTGTATTGCCTTCAACTGCATTGCTCTTCTTCATTCCAAAACCCTCAAGTTCATTTATTCCAAAGTCCTCCTTCAATAGTGAACCTTCATTTTCACCACCTTCTGCAACCATACCAGCAACTTTGGGCTTGTTATCAATTATGGCTCTTGATTTTGCTACCGGATCATATGCCTTCTCACACAGAACCTTACCCGACAAACCAAAATTCTCCAGATTATCCTCCATCATTATACCTTTTCCCTTACAAGTCACTTCCAGATTTTGTTTCATCATAATCAGTCCTTCATTGATGACTAAAGGCTTGTTCATCTTAGAATTTACTTTAATTCTAGGAAAAAAACTTGATCTGTCATCTCCAAATGCTGGCGGTGAAGACGACACGTCCCGAGCTCCACCATTGATTGGACGTCCAGATGAACGTCGATCCTCCAACGGATCGCCGGCCACAGGAGGACGGCGACCGTTCGTCGTCATTGCTCCGACGATGAAGCCGCGAAATCAGAAATTCGAAAAATAGAAATTTGAATTCCCAGACTATCTCTCTCCTCTTTCTCTCTCTTCCCTTCTAATTTGAATTCCCATATCCGATGATGATCGAATTAATGTTCAATATCTCTATTTTTGCATGTAATATCATTCATGTAATGGCTAGTGCCCTTACCTACGACGAAACCATAGGTTTAGTGGCTCATTCGATGTCGAATGAAGCGTAGAGTATATTGTTTAAGTGTGGCATGCGTTATTAGATCTCTAAACTTGTATGTTAAAATAAAATTAGCAAGTACATGTGTTGTTTGTTTACTGGGTGTGCATTAGAATAACATGCCTTTTTCCTAGGTTTCTTCTATTACTTTGCTTGGGAGTGGCCTGGACTTGTGATACGATAGACTCTTAGGATAAAATAATTTTTCTACCCTTTAAATTGAAACAACCTAAAATCACTCTAGGCTTTATGTTTTTCAAATAAGAAAACTTTGCTTGAATCCCTTTAAGGAGTCAAGTTTAAAAAAAAAATTAAAATGAGCATGCATAGCCCAAGTGTGTTGCATATAGAAAGCCCTTACTTAAGGATTAAATAACAAAAATCTGTATTTGTGAGTTTGCATTCTGCATATCACACATAAATAAGCATTTTGCTCTCAAAGTCAAGCTATAAGCCTTATCTTCTAAATCAAAAGAATTCCACCTGTCAAACCTTCTGAAGAGACTTTAAAAAAATCCCAATATGTACCAATTAATGTATCAACATCCCTTCTATCAATATTAGATATTTTGGTTTCCAACAAACCAAGAAAAAATATCCCATGAACATTCACAATCTCCTTCAAATATAGAGAAGCTTTGTTCTTTCTAGCTCCTCTACAATTTCAAAAGGCTATAGAAGACATTTATTGAATAAGAGGGGATGAAATCCCCAATTTTTCACCTTCCACTCTTCTATTGAATAAGAGGTTATCTAGTCCTCTCTCTAGTTATGACATTCATGCCAATCAAATTATAAGAAAGGAATAATTTATTTCATCATTCATCAAATTATGTGGCTACAAAATCCTAACTATCCATATTCTCACAATCTTAACCTAAGCCATCTGATTGTGTTTATCATGAACAACAAGTGTTCTAATCTTGATCTTAGTGCCTATGCATTGGATTACTATCCATGCCCATTTTAAATATAGTTTTTTCGTCATTTTTCTCGCCATGGGGACGGTTGCAAATGTACTTGCCCTTTACATCCTCTAGTATCATATGACGCTAGCTTAGGCTAGCTTGCAAGTCTTTCATGGATGTTGAAATGGATAGATCAGCACATAGAATGGATGATTGACTATTAGCCTATTGGTGAAAGGCCTACATTGGAAGTTGTCAATGATTTAGAAAGAGAAGCTAAGGAAGAAGGTAATAATGAATCCAAAGAGTTCTAGTTAGGTTTGTCAAAATGGGTTATTGAGTTGGGTTCATGTCCGACCTAGATTGACTTGCATTGAACCCACTCAACCCGTTTAGTAAATGAGTGAAATCCTTAAACCCAAACCCGACCTACTCTGAATCCATTTGACTTGACCGGACTCGCTGAACCACTTAGATAAAAGAAAAAAATTGTATAGCAAGCTAATACACACACAACCAAGAAATAATAACTATATTTTTTTTTTCATATTTAATATTCAGTACATAACAAACTGGAAATAATAATACCTCATTAACAAAGCCTTTATAAGTAAACATATGTACAAAAACTATTGTAGTAAGAATTACAAAGTGTAATAAAATACTAAAAACTTAGAAGCAGAAAGCAACACTTCGGTGTTTGTGAGGGTAAGGATTTGTCTTAAAAAGAAAATCAACGATATAAATGTACTAAATATTTGGCATTGACTTTATGGATGCTTAGTTTTCCAGCTTTTCTTAACCTCATTATAACAAGATTTTAATTTTAACATTAGATGGAAGATAACCTGAGAGCCAGTAGTTATCCATTGCTTAATCCGACAAAATATCCAATAAAAAAATGATGAAGAAGCAAGCATAAATATACCATAAACATAATACAAAACAGTAAATAAATAAGAAAATTCAAGTTGCAAGCAATAACAATAGAAGTTCTACAAGACTCCATTTAAGCTGAAACTGCTATAGTTCAGTTTAATTAAATAACAAAGTGCTACTTAAATAATGTTCACGAGCAAGACTCCATTATTCTCTTTATATGAAAGAAAACCCTGGGGAACTTTAGCTAATAGTGGAAATCATCAAAGTGTTTATGGTAGAATAAATCTATGATCACAAATGGCCCATGCATAGCTATAGTAGTGGCAACAATTGTTGCGCCACATGTGCGCTTGACCAATGCATGTGAGGAAGAAGATAAGGTGCTTGGGGGGTGGGGGAGATGGGGTTTTGTCAATTACTTTGGATCATATAATTCCAATCCACGCTAGGTCTCAAACAAGCTGGGATTTGCATGACTTTGGTGTTTGTTGGAATTGCAATGGACAGATGATCATCTAATAAGTACGTAAACATTAGTGATTGTGCTCTAAAATTATTTTTTGGAGTTTTAATTTTTTTAATTCACCAGTTAGTCGTTTAGCTTAGGAACTTGCATTGAAAAATTTAGGATTCCATCAACAACTATATTAAGTGTGTGATTGTTGTTGAGGAGATTCAGAGTAATATAGAAAAATGTTATCTCAATAGTTGTACAAAAATTCTAGACAAATTCTAATAAATGATCCCCAACACATGTGTATATGATTTTTTACGTGAAAAAAACTCAATGGAAAATAGTCAAGAGGTCTAGGTCTAATAGAAATTGTTCTATTATATACGTTGAAAATTATATTGACCTAATATTTTCTTTTATTGTAAAATGTGGGATTATAGGTCTTGAGCTGTTGTGGGTGGCGAGCTGGATTGCTAGCTTTGGTCGATAAGGGGTGATGACAAAAAGACTGGTAAAGATGGGTGTCAATCGCCGGAGTTATTGCATTCTTTATGGATATCAAGTTTCTCTGTATTAGAAAATTCTCCCCTAAAAGAAATATCTTGTGTAGAATCATGACATATTTAAACATTTTTGGAAGGGTATTTTTGGACAATTTTGGTAAAATTTTGAAACGTCCATTGGACGGTTTGAATAGATCCTTCTTGATCATTTGATATTTTTTAAATATTTAAGTGCCTTGTTGTTCTTAGATTTTGGGTGATGTTGGGTTTATTGAATTCATCTTGTCAAGACACATTTTTTTATCACAAGTTCCAAAATTTGGAGGGCATGATCGTTTAGTTGCTTCCAGGAAAGTTTGCTATCATGCTTTTAATTGTTTTATCTTAAGCCAATTTGGACTTGGATTAAGTCATTTATGGTACCGTTGTATTCTTCTTGCCAAACCATATTGTTTTGATTACAAGTTTGCTGAAGTTAAAAGTTTAGATGATCTTATAATCAATTTTTGAAGCTTGTTGCTTTTAGATCTAAAATTTGCATCAAATACGTCCTTGACTAGATGAAATTCTTGGTAGCATAATAGTTGTCCGCAATTCAGAAAATACTTTACGTCTTGAAAATTTTAGAACTTAAATTACAATTTAGGGGAAAGTTTGGAGAAATCCAAGGCATGATTTCTCATTAGACGTTAATGTGGACATCCCTTTAGTTGGGTTGTGAACTAAATATTTTTTTCTCAAGCATAATTTTACCTTTCATTGAAATTAGTGCACCTTTTAGGATGAAAGTTGTTTGAAAAATGGCTCAAAATTCTCTTATGCTTGTATGATACTTGGCCTGAATGGTGTGTGTGTTTTATGCCTTATCAATTCTCACCAAGCACCTTTCACTCTCCCATGACATGTACATATCTAAATAAGCCATGCTTGCAAAGCCGTTGGCACCTCCAATGTTGCAGTTTTTACCAAAGAAAAATATTCCTCTTCTTATGAAGAAAATATTTTAGAAGGTTCTAATAAAGATTCATCCAAACTAAGCAAACATGCTGAAAAAGAGCAACATACTATAATGGTATCACCTAGGTTTTCGCAATAGTTTACTTGCTTTATCACTTCGTATGTCTTGTAACAATTTGTTTATTCTGTGAAAATTCAAGCTATGAGTATCGATGAGCATCTAAAGCGCATGGAAGGTAACAGATATTATAGTTCTGTTGTCTTGGGCCCTGGAAGAGACTGGTGATCGTAGATCATTCAGAGGAGGTTACACAGCTCAGATGCCAATGTCACTGGTTGCTTCTTCAATTGAAGAACATGGAGAGTTTCTAACTTTTAGTGCTAATCAATTAACAGTTCAACAAAATCTACCTGTTTTGAATCTTTGCATAAGCTTTTTGTCTGCAAATTCTCTGGTGATCCAACTTAGTTTCATCTGCATCTGGATTGAAAGGAACAATAACTTTAATCATGGTTATTTTTCAAATTTTCTAGGCTTGGCTTTTTGTGCACCTCCATTGAGGAAGAGATTGTTAAAGATAAACAAATGACCTTGTTGACTATATTGCCTTCTGATGCACCATCTACATGTTTAGCACAGTAGTTCTGGATTTCATTGAGTGTTTACTCAAGTGGATCAGCAGATGTGAGTTTAGGCGTTTGTCTGGTTATCAGTTATTCAATAAGTGTGGAAGACAACTTGTGATATTATTTTTGTTTTTTCAGCTATGAATGACAAGAAGGAGATCAAAATGCTTAACATAAAAGGAATTTTTTCCAGTAAGAGGTAATTTATGTTTCTTAAACTCGTTATTAGATTTGAGTTATTGCATTTGCTGCTATTTGAATCTTTTTAGACCTCTGTAAATGATCAAGTATCATGCTTCTTTGTCTGTAATCTCGTGTTTGTACGAAATACTCACCTATACTTTTCCAGAGCTAGATAAGTTAGCTAAGTTCATGGAATGTATGATTTATGATGTGCATTGCCACACTAGTTTAAACTTCTGCACAACAGTGGCTTCAATATCTTATTCCATTAGTTATAAATTAGGCATATCCTGAAATAAACTAGTTATAAATCAGGACTTCAGATTCATAAGATTGTTTAGAATTATCATCATAATTGATTGTTTCTCACCTCCATCTTTACTCATATCAAAACCCCCCTAATCTTCTTCATCTTTAATCTTAATCTTCCTCTTTATCTATCAATTAAATCTAATAATAATTTATTTAAAAAATTAACTATATTGACCTTATATAGTTGTTATTTTCTATTAATATTTTGCCGATCTTTGTTGGCTTATTCCTTCATAAAACATTAGGCATTGAGATATTCTTCATGTAATTATGATGGTGAAACTTAATTTTCATTTTGTTCAAATCATTCGTAAATCGAGGGCGTGTCATTAATAATCAAGGGATCCTCATCCTCCAATTTTCATGATAACTTTGAAATATCAAGCAACCAGGTGTAAAGCTATCCTTTGTGATATGTAGGGGCTGTTTGGTATCGGATTTATCGTGGGATTTAAGTCGGATTTATGCTAAATCTAGCCAAACGGTTTTTGTGCCCTCGTTAAATCCCGGGATTCCGTAAATCCCGGATTTACGGATTTACGGCTTAAATCCCGGATTTACTAAATCCCTCGGTTCGGTTGATTTAACGGGATTTAACATTAGAAGCGCGCTTAAGTGAGAAAGTTACCTTCACAACCAGCGAGCTCCTGTTCATGCTTCCGATCAAAATGTCGTAACTTCCGATCCGACAATATCTCCTTTAAAATTAAACGCCTCAAAGTTATTATCGACTAACTTATTTTATATAATTTAAAAAAATAATAATTAAGTTAATTAATTAAATAATTAATAGTAGAATTAGTGCATAAATTAATTATCTAATTTAACTTAATTGATTAATTAATGATATAATTAGTAATTAAATATTAATATAATTAGCTTATTTAATATTTCAACTCTCATTTTGGTCCATGTTAGTTTGTAATTAACTTTTTATTGAATTTTTGGTTATTTTATATGACCTAAAATTGATTTTATTATGTTTTATGCAATGATCTTAATTTCATAAATATCTCCTTTAAACTTAAATCCCTAACCGTCATAAATCCTGATATATGTTACCAAACAGTTTTTCAGGATTTAACAAGATTTAACATTTAACATACCAAACAGTTTTTTGGATTTAACACATTTCGGATTTACTAAATCCGAATTTACAGGATTTATTAAATCCCACAAAAGTTAAATCCCACTTGTTGCCAAACAGCCCCGTAGGTTGCTGTGGGACTACTACATACCGTTGCTACTAATAATTCCTGATTGTTTTCAAAAGTGGCACCAGAAAAATTAGCAAAGGAAAATTGGTGCTTTGTTTGTAATTTAAAGTTTAGAAACCCTATGTTTTTGTATCAGGTCTTTCTTTCTAATATGACTGCAATATGTTTTTGTATCAAGTCTTTATAATATGACTGCATGACTACAACATGGTTTTGTATCGAGCCTTTATAATGTGACTGCAATAGATGTTCTGGTTCAATTAAAAACATACTTCGCATTTCAAATCTTTCAGGTTTGCGATTTGTATTGTTGTACTTGTGGTCAATGAAAAATTTCTGTTGAAACTTAATGGCTTGTTTTCTTATTAATGTGATATGAATTGACACAGGGAACTTCAATATACCCCCATGATGTCTATTTTCATATTTGTAGAATAGATTTCATATTAAAGATTGTTGTTATTGTATTTTCAAATATCCAAAATTTTTGGGTCAAGTCAAGTCAGCTTTTTTCAAGCCAAGAGGACTGGTTTAAGTCAAAGTTAACTCGAATTACTCAGTCATAGCTCAAAAGAGACGAGTTAGTTTACAAATAAACTTATCACAAGAAAACAACTATAATATAAGATATCATCTTAAGCAGGAATGTGTAACTGATAGGAAGTACTTGTAGATCTCTAGTATTTCCTATCAATCTTCGGAAAACAGTGAGCTTCTACACAAAAATCCACACAAAACCACAAAAATAGTAGATAATTTGTATTATTTGATGAAAAGGAAACGGAATATAGCAAGATACAATTGATCATCTATTCGAGAGGAGGATCGATCTCTCCCAAATCTCTAGACGTTGCTAGAGCCCAAAGGAAAACCTAAATCTAAGAAATCTCTAATTTCATCCAAATTCAAGATGCCCTAACCCTAGGAAAATAAAATATTTAATTCATACAAATCAAAAGGAAATCCCTAAACTGTCCCTATATTCAAATCCTCTTAGTTCCCCCAAAATTATTTCCTATTTGGCTCCTGAAAGCTTGCGGCTCGTGTGGTTGTAGCAGGAGGTGGAGGGTGGCCGCCTCGTTTGCGCCTGGGCCGGTCCTGCGACCGGTCCAATGGACCGGTCTAACAGTAACGTATCAGTTGGCCCCAATGAGTATGACCTGTGAATTTGGCCTAAGCAATTACTCAAATCAGTGACTTCCTTTTCATGGAAAGTTATTGATCGGCTTAGCTATTTGTCGATCGATGTACACTATGCCAATGACTTCTCAATGGCTCAATAGGCAATTTCTTCAACTTAGACTTTCTAATTAAGCTATACAATTCTTGTATTTATCTTTTATTTTAGTATAATAATATATGTATTCAATTCTGTTACACTCCATTCTCCATCCAAATCTATATTTTATCAAAGGGTGAGCTTAGCTAATATAATTTCTTTAAAATTTTAGAGCTTCTCACTCTTGAATTCTTCCCTTTTTTATTTGGTGCTCTCTTTTTAATAATTTTTTCTTAGTAAAATTAGGATTGATTCAGTTTTATATGGGAAATTAAATGCCAGACATAATCATAATCATATTAAGGAGCTCTCCTGATGTGAACCAAATGATGTGAAAACCACTAGGAGTGACTTCAAGAAATTAGAAAGAGAAAAGATTAAAGTTTTACTCCTTTAAATTTAACGCTAGCACATAAAAGTGAGTTAGGAATTTGAAAATTTTAACTTTATTAGGTCCAAAGAAATGCAATTGAAATTAACCAAGACAATTCTTTCAAAGTTCTAGGAGTTTTAAATGCAAAGTACAATTAACAAAAATCCAACGTTCAACAATGAGAATTTCACCACGAGGACCGTTTCACTTACTTATTAGTAGGCTTTAAGCGGAGAAAGAAGAGCCAAATAATGAAAGATATTACCACTACAAAGATGGCGCCGAAGAACTTTGTTGGTGGAGAGGTAGCCGGTGGGGATGGATGTAGTGGGTGGCTTACGTGGCTCCAATCGTAGCTTGAAAATCATCGGTCGATGATGCTCGCAAGAATTGGGACGACTCGCTCCAAATATTCTTCAATTGTGGTGTCGCCGTCAAATCCTACGTCAAAGCACGGAGATCTTAGGATGTTGATGCTTCCGTCGGCGTCGAATACAAGACCCCACTCAAACTCAGGATCTGCCATTCAACATTGAAGAAAATAGGAGAGGGGAGGGGTCGGCTTCTCCTTTTCTTGGCTTCTCAATTCACAAGAGAAGCAAGGGTGGGAAAGGGGCGGCGGAAGCTGGAGGAAGAGAGGGGAGGCCGGCGGGTGCAAGGAGAAGGTTAGGGTGGAGAAAATGTCTAGGGAATTATGGAAGGGATTAAACAAAACTGAAATTTAATTTCAGTTTTGAATAAAAAGAGAGGGAATTGACTTGAAATTTTAATTTCAAATCAATGAGATTAAGGCCTTAAATGGGGAATTAATGGGGAGCTTAATAAGGGGGAAGCCGGCGGTTTCAAGAGAGGAGAGGGAGGAGTTTTAATAACATATCCTGAAATAAATTTCAGGATTTGAAATTTGAGGGGAAGTTTTATTTGAAATTAAAATTTTAATTTCAAACTAATGAGGGATTAATGGAGCAATTAAGGAGGGGGAAGCCTAGTAAGGCCGGCGGCATCAAGAGGGAGAAATATGTGTGGGAGCAATTGATTAGCTTCCAAATTAGCCCAGGAGGTCTAAGAAGGATTAGGATGAAATCCGTTTGGATTTGAATTTCATCATGACAATGGATTTAAAACCTTCCTAATTTGGAAATTCCAAAATTGGAAAGTTTTTGAAATTCAAATTTTGAATTTTCAAAATTGGAATTCGTGGGGAATGGGAGATGAGGCCGACGGTTGAGGCTTACCGACGGATGGTGGAAGTGGGGTGGCCGGCGGCACTGAGGGGAGTAGGGCCGGCGGGTTGGGGAGAAGGAAGGGGATCGGGTGAAGGGGATAAACCACGAGTCACGGACTCTTCCAATGACTGGCGGGTATTGCTTTTCGCCCACACCTCGGGCTCTCGTTCTCCTCTCTAACTCTCCATAAGAAGAAGTTGAAGAAAAAGATAACCAAACAAATTTTCATTCAAATAATCATTTTCCCCATAACAATACATGAGACCACTATATATATATCTCAACTCATACAATGAGAAAATACGAAATTGCCCTCTGGGCTACAATAACAAAGTAACTCCCCATAGGGGTAAAAATGGAAAGACTACAAATAAAATAAGATAATAATAAAATACATAATGACATCTAAATCAAAAGTAGAGGCGCTGAATCGTAGCCGTCGATCTGCGGTTTTGCTGGCGATAATCATGTCGGTAGTGTTTGTCGATGTCCTCATCATTCTACCCAGGTGGGTGAAAACTCGACTCTGTCGAGTGAGTGTCTCTAGAGCTCTCGTACCACTCTAGAAGGTCTGGATCTAGAATCTACAGCTCTCGGTCAACCCATGTA